AGTATGGACCACACTTCAACATAAAGGAAACAGAAACCCTCACAACTGGACCAATAATCAACACCATGCTAAACGGAGAAAATATTGAAGTTGTCAAGGATTTCATTTTACTTGAATCCACAATCAACACCCATGGAAGCAGCACTCCAGAAATCAAAACATATTGCATTGGGCAAATGTGCTGCAAAAGACCTCTTTAAAGTGTTAAAAAGCAAAGATGTCACTTTGAGGACTAAGGTGCGCCTGACCCAAGCCATGGTATTTTCAATCACCTCATATGCATGCAAAAGCTGGACAATGAATAAGGAAGACCAAAGAAGAACTGATGCTTTTGAATTATGGTGTTGGCGAAGAATATTAAATATAGCATGGACTGCCAGAAGAACGAACAAATCTGTCTTGGAAGAAGTACAGCCAGAATGCCCCTAAGAAGCAAGGATGGTGAGACTTCGTTTCATGTACTTTGGACATGTTATCAGGAGGGACCAATCCCTGGAGAAGGACATCATGATTGCTAAAGTAGAGGGTCAGTGAAAAAGAGGAAGACCACCTACAAGATGGATTGACACAGTGGCTGCAACAAGGAGCTCAAATGTAACAATGATTGTGGGGTTGGTGCAGGACAAGGTAGTGTTTCATTCTGTTGTACACAGGGTCGGAACCGACTTGACTGCACGTAACAACAACATAAGAGACCTTCCCCATTGTAATACTTTCTGGATATGAATTACCTTACTGCTGTAGTTATACTGATTTGTTTGTTAAAAAGAATTTCCCTGATGGCTCCCATTGAGGATAGGATATCGTTTATGTGCAAAGGATTATTTTGAGGACACTAAGGTTCTCACTCCAAAGTCATACTTTTTTTTTCCTTAAAAATCAAATGGTTCCACTACTTCTAGATGCCAGGAGCTACTACACTTTGAACTGAAGATATATGACATATATACAGATGTGGTTATATATGTGATAGCATACCCAAGAAAAATTCCTGAGGAATGGCAGAATCTCCATTGTGCAACTAAAAAGGACAAACAGTGAACCACATAAATGATATCTTAATATCATTTTTATAGTTCCTCTGTTTATTTCACAACTAGAAAGATGATAAATTCTCTGTCTCTGGACCTGATGAAAAACATACTGAAAGATTTAATGTGTATGTAAAGTATTGCCAAAATGTCTCCATTTATTCACCCTCTTTATTCCATTTTTTCCATTCATTGATAAATGGAAAATTAAAACCATAGAATATCTAAGTTGTGATTCACCTCTATTTGAGGATAAACATACAGAGTCGGTGGGAAGAGAGGACCCAGAATCAGGAGACCAGGTTCCTAATTAACTAATTCTGTGACATTAAGCAAATCAATTAAATTATGTACACCAGTTTCCTCAGCTGGAACATGGGAATTACACCTGCCCTACCTCCCACACAGGGTTGTTGGGAGGATTAAATGCAATCATGTAAATGAAGATGCTTGAAAACATAGACATGATAAACGAATGTAAGGACATTAACTTACTATCCAAATTACTAGAAATCACAAACTTTTCATAAATAAATTGATCATGTAACAAAATATGTTATCTAACTCCCATCACCATAAAAATCACATTAAATGACCCAAATATAATGTACACATTATGCATGTTTAAACACCAGCCTTGGAAATATTTACCAAGTTTCCCAAAAGTATTGGATAATGAGATCCAAATGACTGAGCAATCTGGTATTTTCAAATCCAATATTGTATGAAGTATATGTCAAGCCTTGGGCAAAACTGTGGAATGGTGATGAAATTTGTGCTCAATGTTCCCAGCCTCCTTTTACTTGGCCCTATGCTATGGAGCACAGTTCTATGCTACAACACATTGGGTCGCTATGAATAAGAATTGGCTTAACGACAATTGGTTTAGTTATTATTATTATTTTTTAACCCTACTTTCTACCCTCCCACCCTCTATGAAACCTCCTTTCTCATTTTACTGATCTCCTACCAGCAAAACCCCATCAGACAATTAATGTCATATAGGCATAAATACCTAGTAGAAAATTGATGCTATGTACACCTTAGTATAAACTAGAACCACAGCAAGGGAAAGTATTTTAAGTCTTATTTCTAAATGTGGAGTAAATAAAGGTTTTCACAACCTCCTCCCCAAGGAATTTCAGTTTGGGAGTAGGTGGTATAATCTTTTCCTGTGAAAGAATGAGGTGGCAAGTTGCCTATGAGATAAACCTAATTCTGGTGGGAAATCAAAACCAAAACATACCCCCAACAACTATGTAGTGCTAATTCCTGTCTGAACTATATTTAAAAAAAAATCAATTGCCATCAAGTTGATTCTGATTCATGGCAACCCCATGTGTGCAGAGTAAAACTGTGCTCCATAGGGTTTTCATGGCTTTGATCTTTCGGAAGTAGATCTCCAGACCTTTCTTCAGAGGTGCCTCTGGGTGGGTTCAAACCATCAACCAGTAGCCCAGCATTTAATCATTTGTGCCTATGTGGACATTACAGTCTTACAGAATATAGTCAGTAAGACTATACTAGTTTGGCTTGTTAATGGCAATTCAATAAGAAGCAGACATCACCTGTTGCTGCTTGTACCCCATCTTTCCTTTCTTCTGCCCAAATTGAGTTCACACACACACACAACTACAACCTCTCAACCATCCTTTGAGCCACACATCTTTGCCTTGTCCTTCATAGTCTCTTGTTTCTTCCTAATGCCCTTAATCCTTCCTCCTGCCCCAAGAGGAAGGTATGCCCTTGTTGAAATTGCATAATGTATACTGGATCTCCGTCAATGCCAACAACCTGCCTGTGTCTAACACCTACCATCACACTCCATAATATCAAACACATTCTCTCTGAGACATTTTTAAAAATGAATATTTCAAAAAATCAATAATCTTTCACATTTCACAAGATTCAATAAATCAATAATCTTTCACATTTCACAAGCTTTTTGATATTGTCATGGTACTTAAACAGCAAGAAAAAGGATAAGATCTTCATTGACTACATTGACTTCTAAAGGAATAGGTACTTGTGAAAGCACAAGTTGATGTCTTCCAGTTGAACTCACGTTATTGAGACCCAGAAAGAAATAGTCATTAGAAGAGACAAAGAACCTGGAAGGCACCTTTCCCTTCTGTTTGTTATACAAAGTAATACCGTCCCTGCGTATATAAACAGGATAAGGCGCTACCAGGCAAATATTGATTTTTCCTTTCATCTACAGTTGTTCACGAAGATAATAGATTTGTCAGAAATATCCTTTCATAGCACAAACCAACATATTGGGGGGAAAGAGTAAATTTTAGTTTTATTCTAGCATAATACATGAAATCCTTTGAAGGTGGGGAATAGTAAAGATATGTAGAAAAATGTCTGTTAAATAAGATAAATTTGTGGCCCATAATAGTACAGCAGAGACAGTTGAAACATTGTTTTATAACTGCATGTGCACATTCCTGCCTATGAGCCTGATGTTCAATTCTGTGATGGTTTTCACTATGCATACAATTGAACTTTTTTTAATCCTTTGAAGTTCATGGCATTCTGTAAATTTTTTCAGGTAGAAATAAATAGTATCAATGTCATTGCCAAGTAGTGCAGGGAACAGTAATGTATGGTGATTAAAATCAAGGGCTTCCAATTCATATATGCAGAGAGCTGGGTTTGTACCCACCTTCAGCAGTCAGACTTTCGTCAGTTTATTTAACCTTTCTAAGTTTTGGTTGCTTAATATATGAATGTTAATATCTATCTCACAATGTGGTTGTAGGGACCAAATGAAATAATATGTTTACTGTGTCTGGGACATAGTAAAGTAGTGAAAAACAGGATTGTTACTATTATTCATACAGGCCTCAGGTAAATGAAGAAAGTAAATCTATATACCAGTTTGCTGTTTTTGAATCTTAGTAAAATGTGCTTAGTTTGTCATCTTAATTAAAATCACTCCTGAATAAAAGGTATAAATGTATCAAATGAGCAAAGTGGTGTGGCCAACACTTTCTCCTATGACTGAATTAGCAGGAAATCCCTATTGCTTTACAACAACAAAATAAAACATCTTCGGACTTCAATTTTTTAAGGAGAGTTTCTTTTCTTACTTAGGTAACTGATAAAATTAAGCCATCATTGCCAAAATTCACATGATGCTGGCACATAATTTATTATATGTTTTAGTTTCATTGCAAAATATTTCAGATTCTGGTTTCATAATAGTAACAGCTCCTGTGCCACTTCTGGAGCCCTGGTGGCACAGTGGTTAAGAGCTCGACTGCTAACCAAAAGGTAGGCAGTTCGAATCTACCTGCTGCTTCTTGGAAACCCTATGGGGCAGTTCTACTCTGTCTTACAGGGTTGCTATGAGTTGGAAACGACTTGACGGCAATAGGTTTCGTTTCTTTTTTGTTGTTGTTTTTGTGGGCTCTTGTTTTTTTTTTTTTTTTTTTTTACTATTTACAATGCATTCATCTCTTGTTTTTGTCTTTTGTAACTAAGAAATGAATAATGGAGTGGTAGCAGCAAAGACAAACACATACTTTATAAAAAAGGAAAGGAGAGCACTTTTTAAATCTTATATTGAACCAGTAGATTTGGAGTCTGTACCTCTGCCATATTTCAGCTTCTTGGAAATCCCAAACTCTCTCAATGACTCCTACTTTCCTCTCTGACAACTTGACACAAGTAACCACGTAGGCGTTTACTAAGCGCGTCCCAGTTTTCCGGGAGGCCATTTTTTACGTCGTCCGATTGTGGCGTAGCGCCCCCGTCACGTGCGTGCCCAATATGAAGTCACAAACCCTCTCCGCTATATAAGGCTTGGCGCTGCAGACTATCCCAGTTGCACCAGGCAGTGCGGGACGCCTAGCACCCTGGCCCGAGGCTTCCCAAGTCCGGGTGGCTAGCGGCCCCCTGCTTCCCAGCTGCCAGCTCAGTGCCCCGGTTCCCGAAGAGAGAAGAGGCGGGAGAGGTGCCATGAATATCTTTTTTCTCCTAATGAGCGGCATTCTTTTCGCCTTAGCATTTGTCTTCTGGAAAAAACAGTCGCAGGTAAAGATGTGTGTAAGACAGATACAGACTGGAAGCTGGATGAATACTTGGATCTATGTGCGTGTGTGGAAGAATAGAAAGTTAGTAAAATAAGAGACAAAGGGAGGGTCCCTCATTCTTTTTTTCTCATGAAAAGAGCCCCAGACGTTTACTCTTTACCCACACACTTCCCTCGTATTGACCAGGGATTGGACAGTTGGGGGCCTATTATAAAAAGCCCCAAGTTATTAAGTGATATAGTTAGTTTTCCACGCACCTGAAGAGAACAGATGAAGTGACTATTCCCACCTCCCACCTCCCATTTTAAGAATTTGTGCCTTCTCTCTCTTGCTGGCTGGCTCTCACATCTGCTGCCACCTATCTTTCTCTACTTCTCCCCTTTATTTTCCTTTTCAATCATTTCGACTAGAGATTTCTGGGCATTTACAGATAATTCAGGTCAAAATGTAGGTTTCCTGGTGTTATTTAAAGTTGCAAGTAATTTTAGGTAAGGTTCAAAGACAGGGTCCAAATATAGACCTACTGGATTGCCCAAGAAATGCAAGCAAATGTCATTTTGACACTAAAAGGCTACATATGTATATTTTTTTCTCACTCTGTCTTTAGGAAGAGCATATTTCCAAATCAATGTAGTCATCTAACATATTTTTTTAATCTCTCTTAGGGGAGGATGATCAGGTCATTTTGGTAACCAAAACTAATATATGTTGTCATTTGCTAGTGTTTGGAAATTGCTAAATTCAAACAACGTATATATAATTTCCTTCTCTTACAGAGAAACATGGGTAAAATGTCATCAAAATCGACTTCCCTTGCACTAGTAAGACCATCCTCTTCTGGGTCAACTAAGAGCAACGCTGATAAGACTCTTTCAGTCAACAGCCTCTCTCGGGATATCTTACATAACGTCCCACACTCAATAGCTATGCAGAAGCGAATACTGGTAAACCTCAGGATTGTGGAATACAAGCTGGCTGAATTGGAACATTTCCTAGTTACCAGGGGTTTAAATGGTGCAGTACTTAATAGGAAATCCACTGAAACTCTTACATAATGTAATGACAGTGGAGGCAATCATTAAAGCACTTTTGAATGGAGTCACTTGATTATATGTGTTTATTCCAAACGAATTATTGTTTAAAAGGGGAGGAGATGCCAAGTCAGATACAAAATCCAGACATTTATCAATTTGCTTGCTCACATTTTATTTAAAAAATTGATTACATGTTGCTAATAAATGTTTTACTGGAGAATGAATGGAAGCACAATAGAGAAAGCAAAACAGTTCAATTAAAAAAATTAAGCTACAGTAAAAAGAATTAAAGTGACTTTAGTTTCACTCAAGTGTGAAAACACTTTTCTCTAATGATTTGCAATACCACAAATGTCTCCAAGTTTGCATTAAAGTAAGTGGGATTTGATGGAACTGTCTTCCATCATGCAGAATACTGTCTTACCACCACCGCTGCATCTGTGTAATAATAAGAGCTATCACTACACACCCTACGAGGTGCCAGGCACTCTGTTAGGAACTGTGCTTTACACTCTTGTAAGGATAGTCACACAAACCCTTAACTGCTCCTTGTGGTCAGATTTTAAAGAGGATTGCTCCCCCATCAACTCCATGGCACCCTCCACCCCCCTCAAACACAGAATTAGACATTCTTTCATTAAAAATGTACCTAAATCTTCTATATGTGCAAGAGTCACCTATACAAAACTACATATTTTTCTATTAGGTAAAAAATCCACAACCCAAGTAGCACCAAAATGCAGTGGTAGAATGCATTTAATGTACTCTATTAAAATTGTCTCAAGAAAAATATTTTATAAAATCCAGTATAAGTAACGAATTAACAGTCTCTTGGAGTTCGCTAACAGCGTTTAACCTACCCTCAGATACAAGTTCACTATATGTGTGTGTGTGTATATACACATATACATAACTCATTGAGATTGTTCAATTACAGGTCTACCTATTTACCTATCTTTATGTCCCTTCTCCTGAAATAAATTACCAGTATGAAATAAATACTTTAATCTTCAATCAAAAAAGGAAGAGGAAAAGGAATTTAAAATATGTGAGACTTAAGCAAAGTTTAAACTTTGACAAATGAGTGACATTCATTTTATTGTCACTCATTTGCCAAACACAAAAAAGCCAGCAGTAGTGCATGTGGTTCTTAGGCTTTTTTGGGTCACAGATCTCTTTGATATTTTGATGAAAATTGTGGACTCTCTTCCTAGAAAAATAAATGTATGCATACACACAAAAAACCACTATAGCTATGTAATTTCAGTATCTATGTTCCTTGAAGTCCAGGTTAAGAACCTTAAGAATCACTGAAAAGTTCCTCACATATTAGGTAGTGTTCATAATCCTAGGCTGTGATGTTTATACCAATTGTCAATGATATATAATCAATAAATAAACCTATTGGAGCCCTGGTGGTATAGTGGTTAAGAACTACACCTGCTAACTAAAAGGTCGGCAGTTCAAATCCACCAGCCGCTCCTTGGAAACCCTACGGGGGCAGTTCTACTCTGTCCTGTAGGGTCGCTATGAGTCAGAATTGACCTGACGGCAATGGATTTGGTTTTGGTTTTATAAACCTATTTGTCATTGTTGTTAGGTGCTGTTGATTCAGTTCCAACTCATAGCGACCCTATGTACAACAGAACGAAACACTGCCCCATCCTGCACTGTTAAACCTATTAGTAACGTAATATATTTTTATTCTCTTTGGTAAGAAAACTGGAACATAGGACTTCCTAATTTGGCTTCTGGCATTCTTGACGAGGTCGACAAGTTTATCTCCTATAAGTATGTAAATAAGTTATCACCCATGAGTAGTAACTTATTTAAATAAGACAAAATCACTCTACTTGCCCTATTAGTCATATATTACAATCATATACGTTAGACTTGATTAAATCCATTTCCTCATTAGCATTTTTGTCCATAGTCTATTTGAAATGAAACCTAGATTATAGAGAGCATAATGAACTACTCTTAATTGTGTAAAACATTATATTTTTCTTCCAAATATAACCTAAGGAGGGAAAACAAGTATTCAAAACTTCTGGATTCCGTTTTCTAGATTTATCACTTACTGACTTAATTTTTCTGTCTTATTTCACTGTTTGTAAATAAAGAACATAACCACTAAGGTCACATACAAAAAGTGAGCAGTACAAATACATGAAGTTTTAAAACATATTTGAATCAAAAGTATTAATCTACAGTCTTCATATTCTATACACAGTTCTTTTTTTTTCATGAATATATGGAATTTCTTTTTGTCAGACCTTCAGTTTGTAACACATTCTTTAAAATATACTGGTTTATTTTTTTCCCTAGCTTTGGGGAAAAGAAACCAGTGTATTAAGAATATATAAGCAAATAATATTTTTAAAGCTTATAATAGAAAATATAACAATTTTCTAAATACCCCGCTCAAAACAGTCTTTAATGTATTAGAAAAACATTTTGGTAATACTTACAAACATGTTAGTGTGAAACAGAGACAGCTTTGTGTGTGTTTATGTGTGTATGATACATGTAGATAATCTAAAAGGAATGATAATAAACACATTGCTAAACATGAATAGATTCACATTTTTATATTCCTGCTTAAGTGGGAAAAAAGTTTATCACATTATGAACACAGTATATACATTTTTCTACTCAGTGAACATACAAATAAATAATTTTTTCCTCTATTAAAAAAAAATTACACAACCATATATTTTAAAATATCTCATTCTGGTTTTCCACTGCCACTAATAGTGGGTATTTCATGGTCATTTTCTTTCTTAGGATCTGCCATGCTTTTATATCTCTCCCCACGATGTCTTTCCAGGTACGGACCCCAGTTAGAAGCTGGTTTACAGCAGCTTGCAATGCGCTGAAAAGCAAAAACAAAAATACTGGTCTTAGAATTTAAGTGCTACAATCTGTAAACAATCAAATATTAAACTTTTATATTAAAATTTTAAGTTCATCTTACCTAAAATAATACAGGAAGAATAGAAAAGTGAAGTGATCTAAATTATTAACAATGCACACTCTACTAAGAAACAAGTTATAATCAAATTTACTACTAGAATTGTATTAACTATTAAACCAAAATATCTGAGTATGTAAATGATTTCAAAAGAGAGTATGTGAGCCCATTAGAGCAACAGCTTCACTCTATACACCTTCACTGAATTTTCAGACCTTTCCAACCTGGCTTAAAGGGTGAGGGTTATGTGAGGGTCTAAAACAGTGTGTATCTGGGGATGTTTTCAAGATCCAAAGAAAGGGAGAGCTCCAGGATCAAACCACTGATGCAGATACATTCTTGGATGGGCTTAGGAATTTATTTAAATCCAAGACTCCCAAGGCTACCCTCACAATGCCCTAGTGTAATGTCATAAATAAGTTCATCCTCCTAGGCTTCCAGAGAATAGGGATGACTCAAGGTCCAGGTGGGGTTCAAGGTCATTTACCAGACATATTCCAGTTTAAACACACTATTAACCAGTTGCTATTGAGTTGATTCTGACTCATGGCAACGGAGTAGAACCATGCTCCATAGGGTTTGTGATTTTTTGGAAGTAGATTGCAGGCCTTTCTCCTGTGGTGCCTCTGAGTGGATTCGAAACACCAGCCTTTCAGTTAGCAGTCAAGCGAGTTAAACATTTGCACCACCCAGGGACTCCAAACACACTTTAGGACTGTATTATAACCAGATGAGGTTTTAAAAGTGGGGATGACAGGCATAGAGCTAAAAGGCCATGTCTTGTTTCCTTTGCAGGTACAACTCAGTGCAAGTATAACTATCATAGCTATTATGTGCTCAGCACTATACTAGGGCCTTAGAATATAGCAACAAGCAAGATTACACTCCTCCCTCAAGGAGTTTATAGACTAGACATAAGACATACTAATATATAATACAATGTCGTTTACACAGTAACAGATGATTGTATCAGGCATAGAAGTACTTTAGAGGAGAGGATGGTGAATTTTATCTCCTGTTCATAATCTCATTACAGCCGTATGAGTAAATTAAACATTTTGATCATAGGTATTTTACATAAAATAATTAGCTTTTAATTAAATCTAAATTTAATGTGCTTACTTGAAAGATGTTTCCTCTCGCCTGAATTATTTTCATGATAGCCATAATTGGAATCCAAATAATGCAGAAAATAATCATACACCAGCCTACAGCAATTCCCCAATCAGGGTATTCGATGGTGCCATAAGTAGGTCTCTGAAATGTCGCCACTGACCAGATAAAAATTGCCTGTGAAAGTGAAATATGAAAAAACAAAGCTAAATATTAGCCTCCATTGCACTAATGATTTCAACTGCACTAATGATTAGAATTTGACTCCATTCATTAAAAATAATATATCAACAACAATTAAAATGAAAATGCATTCAAGCAGGTAAGATAATTAGGTAACTAACCAGAAGATAATAATACTGAATGGACCAAACTAACTTGATTGTGAATAAATACTTTCAAAATTAGTCCCTCCAGACAGAGTAGCAGGGGCGGGGGTCTGGGGACCATGGTTTAAGGGGACATCTAGGTCAATTGGCATAACAAAGTTTATTAAGAAAATGTTCTGCATCCTACTTTGGTGAGTGGCGTCTGGGGTCTTAAAAGCTAGCGAGCGGCCATCTAAGATGCATCAATTGTTCCCAACTCACCTGGAGTAAAGGAGAACGAAGAACACCAAAGTCACAAGGAAAGTATTAGCCCAAGAGACAGAAAGGGCCACATAAACCAGAGACTTCATCAGCCTTAGACCAGAAGTACTAGATGGTGCCCAGCTACCAACAATGACCGCCATGACAGGGAACAAAACAGAGAGTCCCTGATGGAGGAGAAAGGTGGGGTGCAGAACTGAAATTCTAGTAAAAAGACCAGACTTAATGGTCTGACTGAGACTGGAGGAACCCCAGAAAGCATGGCCCGCGGACTCTCTGTCAACCCAGAACTAAAACCATTCCTGAGGCCAACTCTTCAGACAAAGATTAGACTGGACTATGGG